TATATTGCGTTTTAAACTTCTCATTTGGTTCAAAATGAACCCGGAATAAAATTGTATTATGACGCGCGTTCATAAATCGTACGTAATAAATATTGGACTATGTTTATCGACAAAAATTTATCAATAAATCATTGAATTACAAATAATTGCGTTTCGTATTATTTTAATATATAAATTGAAAAATACACATATACAGATAAATATCGCATCGAAGTCGCCGCGTGAAACTTTTTAGTATATATATAGATTATTATTTATTAAAGTTTAATTTTTCAGATTTGTATTTTGGATGCACACACGCATTGCTGTCGAGTTCCAAAATGTTTAAGGCCGTTTTATAAACCGCATCGTTTTTTAAACCTAAGAATCTACATAATGCGAAAAGTTGAAATATTTTGAAATTCAATCTTCACGATGGCTGTTATGTTTAAGGAAGAATATATTAAAATCTCTGTTCAACCTTTATTTTTGTCATTTGTTCCGCTCCATTACGGAGATAGAAACAATAATAAGCTGCATTACAAGCTATATAAACTTAGTTTTATTTCGTACTGGACATAAAAATTCTATTATACCTATAATAAAAGCAATTACATGATATTCTTATTCCAATAGAATATTATTATTTTGTATTGTTCGTGAATAAGTTATATCTATTTATAGTGTGATGTGTTGAAAAATAAGTTCAAATAAAAGTACGTAAAAGAAAACACTGCAGCACATTTTCAACTATATTATAGTAAAATTTTTTTTATAGTTATTTTAGTTAGGAATATTGCTTACCTGGGATAAAACGTAAGGCCAGATGACATAGAATCTTTTCAGGTACCATATTTTCTTGTGGTACTTAAGATATAGCTTTCCGGTGAAGATGTTTTCCGTTACGAATGTGATAGCGAAAGCGTTGTCTATTTTTCCGTTTCACCATGAAAGCGTGACCAGCATGAGGACAACGCGTGTAATTTTGCTGTAGGAAATGTTTAGACTGAATCACCTGTTTCTTTTATGTATAATAATAAATTATATTCATATGTAATCTGAAATTGTATAGCCGTTGAGTTCAAATTGTATCGACGTTTTCGTCGCTCGAATGAAAAATGTAACTAAAAAAAAAGCTTTTACACTGTATCTACGATTGTCTTGTCATCATATAGTCTATGTAAAAGTCATAATAACTGCATAAATCGATTTAATAGAAATATTATTATACAACCGAGGGCGTTATTTTCAAGATGCGAAGGTGTGTATTAGCATTTCATTCGCATTCTTTTTATTTTACAACTTAAAAAAAAATAATTAATTTTTTCAGTTGTTTAACGATGAAACGATAAACATGATAAATTTATAAGTACCTACTATTTTTAATATCAACTAGGTATTTAAAATTTTATTCTGAATTGATTTATATTTTATCTATATGTTTTATTGTAAGGTGAATTAAGAAGTATAAAAATATACACTATAGACTTAACGGATATGTGCACTTGTAAAATATATAAAATATTAATAAGTCACTTTGCTGTATTAACAACTACATGTGTAAAAAAGCTTATTATAGAGATGTGTTATGTAGTAGGTAGTCCAGCCAACGCTTGTTTGGATGTTTTTCTTTACTTATAACTCGTTACGATATTAACTGTTATAACTTACATGGGTGCCCAAGATACCTCCTACAGTGGCTAGTATAATACTATTATGTTATCAATTTAACAATTATCATCGAATAGCAATTGCCGTTAATTGTTTCCGATTGTCCATTCAATTTCTAAAAACTGCAGTCATGACGTAGGTATGTCTTGCTTTTATTTTTTTATTTACAATAAAACATCCCCATCAAGTAGTGATCCACGCAATTAAATTAATTTTATTTATTTAATATTATACTTATTATTAAAAACTAGAGACTATTACGTACAGTAGATTAATAACTCGTTTAGTTTATTTAAAATCTATGCCATTAATTTGGAAATGAAAATAGAGTGTAGTTTACGATGGTGAATAGATAAATTAAATAATTTATTTTTATAAATTTTTTTTTAGTTTAAAATAGAGTAAGTAAAGTCCTCTTAAGGTGCTCAAACATAAATTATATTGGTACAATTGTATAAAATCCTTATAATCTTTACATATGAGTAGTTTAGCTAATTTAGCTTATGTTAAATAATTTTTAATTAAATGAAATATTTGAATATATACTTTTTAAGTCTTTAGAGTATTTATTTTGAGAATAGCTAATTGGCTATTGATGAATTATTTTACATTCTATGCGAAATTCTATAACAAAATCGCTACAATACAATAACCGATATGTACCTGCAATGGGAAATGGCTAATTTTCTACACTACAGATTTAATTGAAATATTGAATATTTAAGTGCATAACGTGTATAATGTACACTCATTCTATACTTAACAAAATACCTTATAAACAGTTGTAGGTGAATATTCTAAAGATTTATTAATTAAAAAAATCGTAGGTGTTTAAATCGAAAGTGAGTCCGTTTTTAATATCTGTTAACGCGTATTAGCATATATTGCATTCTTGTTACGTATAATTAAATAAATATATTATAGGAACACACTTACTTACATATCTATATCTATTATAGCTGAAAAATCCTATATGCTCTCGCAAAAATGGTTCTCATAAATTTTTAATTTTCATGTACTATCACTATAATTGCTTTATCTATATAGGTCGTTTATCCAATGAATTTGTATTTTATAAATGAGATGTAAACGAAAAAAAATATTAATAGTTCATAATTATTGAGTGTATTGTGTATACACTATATCTACATATTTCAATGAAATTTTGTTTAATTGATGTCAGTATTTTCCGTTTACATTTTAAAGATATTTAATTTCTGCACCCGCGATTTTACGTTAAAATACGTTAATTTACGTTGGTCTTTACACGATGTTTTTTTTTTTTTTTATTTCAAAATTTTCACGAAGTTAAGATTTATTTTTAAATAAAAATAATAAATTGTTGTTTAAAGAGTTTTTCATTGTTTTCTAACAAAAGCTGAAGTATTTTTAAAATTTGAACAAATTTCTAATCATACTCCGAAGTCTAAACTACTTAAGTAGTTATATAATAATTGAGCGATTCCGATAATCGGTGTTGTTTACATCTTAAATATTAAATAACACAATTATATTAATGGTAAGAATTTGAACAAGAGTATGAGAACAATATTATAATCTATGAAAAAACTTCATAGATTTGGGACACTCTACGAGTCTATAATCGTTATAATACATTGAATCGTCAATTAGAATCTTTTAATAAAACATTAGAGAGAGAAAATAATTTTTCCATACAGAAACAAACGCTGTAACACATTAATTATTTCACTCCGTAAAGACGCATTTTCGATGACCTGATACGCAATTATTGTAATAAAAATTAATTTTAAAAATGTTATATTAATTATTTTGATGAATCGTTTGAAAAAAAAAACAATTTAAACATTTTTATTGAATACTCGTGCTCATATTTTAAACAACCAATTCTTGGTTGGTATACATTTGTACCTGCTGTGAAAAGGTCATCTACTCCTCTCGTAAACAACCCCAACATAACGGGATTCTTTTTCTTATTTTTTTATTATTAATTTGGCAAAGAAACCGTTCTTTACGAGGGGTTTTATTCGGTTTGTTTGAACCCTCAAGTATTATTTTTTTTATTTTTCATTATTTTTTTGCAACGCATTAACCCATTTTTGTGAGATTTCTCTCCATTTTCCATTAAAATGAAAAAAAGAACAAGGGCCTTCAAAAGGAAACACACATGCCTCTATAACTAATGCTGATATAACGGCAGATTTTTGTAAAAAAAAAAGAACAAACAAACGGAGAAATTCGAGAATTTCACCAGTTACAGGAATAGGTGTATAGGCCGACTAGAAGGTAAATACAAATTCAAAACAGTGATATATTTTTTTAAAGACTTGAGCACATTTATTCAGACCATAACTCAAAATGCTTTAACAATATAATATACCTAAATAATAAGTTTATAAATGGCACAAAGATTAATGATAATCCAATATTGTTGACAGTAATAGTATAATTAATAATAATGAGTAAATAATCCTCCCATTTAAAAAATTAATTTTTCTAATAGTTGTATTATAAAGAAAAAAATATGTAGAAATATTTTACAACAGTTAAAAGAGAAAATGGGAAACAAAACAAATACCAACTGGCTAAATTATTAATAAATAATAAAATAATTACTTAATGAGCCAACATTTGTTTTCAATGTTATCCTTCACAAAATTCAGTCTTAATTTTACAATAATTTGTACAACATGTTAATATTATGATAGGTAAACGAATAAATAATATATATATATATATATATATATTATATTAATACATTATAATATTGTTACAGGAATAAAAAAAATTGACAAAAAAATAATAAATATAAAAACAAATATAATATCACATACGCACTTGTACTTTACATACGAATAACGAAATGGGAATGTCACGAAAGTTAAAACAAAAATATTGAATAATAGAATTTAATGTATTGATTACATCTGTTTTTTTTATTATTATTATTATTTATGAATGGCAGACAACTTTTATGTACATACAAATTTCATATTCGGACTTAGCGGCCCTTCGTTTCCTTAATCATCATAAATAATACAACTAGCACCAACTTAAATTGTTTACCTATTTATAATAAAAAGGTTAGGGGACAACTTAGTGGTTTTCAAATTCTGAATAAAAAAATGTTATACATACATATATATAGCATTGATTATAACTTAAAGTAACTGTACATGTTTTATATAATATGTATTGCACAATAATTTTGATTAACGTCAAAAAAAAAAAACAAACAAATAATTATTATTTTAAAAAATTTTTGATATTAATGAGAAAAAATTGAGCTTATGACTAAATGAGACATGACTACATCATAATATCCAAAAAAAAAAAAAAAAAAATAAAAAAATAATAATAAATTAAAAATATTAATAATTGTAAATTGTAATTCAAAGTGGTAATTTATGGGCGATGGACATAAAATAAACATATCGAATATAATATGAAGTTGTTGTAAATTTTTTTTTAATTGATTGTTTTTTTTTTTTAATTTTATTATTATTATTACTTTTCTGAAATTTATAGTAATAAAAGTTTTGTTTATTTACACGTGAGATCCATGGCAACGTCGACGATCATCTTGTTCTCGGGCTTGACGGAAAGGTCTTCGGGCTCCGTCTGTTCGGGCGACTCGAACTTGACAAAAGGTTTGCCACTCCGTTCTGGCGATTGAAACCGGGCGATGAACTGTAGATAATGATACGGCTCGATGGACGGGCTCGTGTGCGGCGAGATAGTTCCCGGTTGACTCTGCTGCTGCACGTACGCCGCCTGGGGCTGAGGCGGTGGCGATGACCAACAACTGGTGGGCGCGGACGGCTTTGGAGACGGTGGCGGGGAACCGTGCGTGGCCGGCGTCCACGACGGCACCGACGTGGACGGTTCGGCCGTCTGGTGCACGGCCGCGGCCGCGCGGCAGCGTTTTTTCACGACCCCGCGGGGCTTGTTGTTCTCCTTGTGCTGTCGCTTGTGGTCCTTCAGCTCGACGGCCGTCTCGAAGAACGCGACGCAGTACTCGCACGGATAGGTCGTCTCGCCGGTGTGGGTCTTGAGGTGTCTGCGCAAGTTGGCCACCTGCACGAAGAACCTATTGCAGTGCGGACACCAAAACGGCTTTTCGCCGGTGTGCAGTCTGACGTGGGTCTTGAGATGATGGTCGCGGGTGAAACACTTGTTACACACCGAACACACGAACGGCTTTTCGCCGGTGTGCGTGCGCTCGTGGTTCTGGAGCACATGCTTGTAGCCGAACTCTTTGCCGCAAACCGTGCACTTGAACGGCCGCGTCTGGCGCGGGCGCGACGAGGACGGCGGGTTGGACGACGACGCGGACGACGCCACCGACGACGTCTCGTCGTCGCCGCCGCATCCGCTGGCCGGGGCTATTGCCGGCGGTTGATTGTTGTTGTTCCGCCGGTCAAGCCAATCGGGGTGCATGTCGAACACTTGATTCATGATCTGCATGAGGACCAAGTCCGTGGCCGGGTCGATGCCCCGCTGCTGCTGCTCGCTGATGGTGTACTGCAGACGGTGAAAACAGTCGATAAACAACGCACGTGATTCTGAGTCGCCTCTGGGTGGTTGATTGATGTTGTATCTTTTGTATACTGCATTCAGCGCGAAGTGAAACCAATATTCACTTACTTTAACTGTTAAAAAAAAAAAAAGAACAATTATTTATACTGTAAATAATGCGTTATATTTATACGACTGATAAGAACACGGCGTTCATTCTCATTGTTTATTTTTTTTTTATCGACTAATTAGGTAAAAGTCTTAAAAATGGCCAGGAAATAAAAACACACATAATCAGATGAGTTAAAAAAACTGCCATGGATTGTTTAAATATCAAAGCAATGGCTGAAGAAAATAGTTGAATCTAATATAATATTATTGCAATATACATATGTATCCAAAAACATAACAGACTAATCAAATAATTAATTTTCCAAACCAGTGTTATTTATAGTTTTAAATAATCTAGAACGAAACTCGAATTATATTTATGATTACTATACCTATAAAACAGTTTATAACATAATAATATAGTATTTAATATTATTTTTAAATTTTAATTCCAACATAGTACCAACTTGGGTAATTAATATTGTAATGGGTAATTATTTACTGTAGTGTATAAAATTCATCATTTACGAGAATATAATAAATGGAAAAATAATGCTGTTAATACTTCCTAAAGAAAAATGTTTTCGTGAAGAAATACTCATTATTTACCTATTAACATTAACTCTTTTTTGATAATTACGTAATTCATAATAATAATTTTTTCAATAACGATGTATACAATATAATTAAAAACGATTGATAATCTAAACTTTATTATAAATTTCTATTTAAGCGTTATTCGGATACCAATATTAATTATTGCTATAATTAATAATTTGTACATTTTTTTAATTAAAAATATTATTGTGGAGAATTAATGTAAAATAATATCAACCAATATATTATATTATTATGTATAATATATGTATATAAATATATAACATTCAACGTAGATTATTAAATACTTAATTAATTCTAATTAGTTTTTCAAAAAATATGATAATTATTATCAATTTAAGATTTTATTACATAATCGACAATTAATGAATAAAAATTTTTGAACAACTACCGTGTAATAAATACTATTTAGAAATTCGATAATCTTGGTTTACTTTATCGACCATATTTACATACCTACCTAGGTCAATACAGATTTTATTGAGAAACTTTACACGTGTTTAATATTTAATTTACCATTAACATAAGTTATTATTTTTTTAACAAGGAATATATTCGATTACCTAATAGTATAATTTCTATAAAATACAATAACAAACTATAAACAATTACACTTATTATTATTGTCGTAGATAAAATAACCAATACATTTATATTTAATAAATAAAATTAGAATATCCTTAGTGTAACGACATAATTAGTCATTGTAGCTAATAAGTAATAAAATTTAATACAAAAATATAATACTTTCAAATCCTTGTAATAATATGAACATCGTGTAAACACAAAATACATCAAACATTTGTGGTAAAAATTAAAAGCTGTCGATTAATTCATTAATTGCATGTTTAAGTTTAAGCACTATTACATAACGACTAAAATATTAATAGGTGTCGAGAGAATCCGATAAATCTGAGAATACACCTTTGGGTTTTTCGAAAATATTTTTAGTCCGTCATCGGAGATTAAGCAAACCCCTTTTGCGACGGAATTGTTTTTAGGTCGTTGTGCGCAGCACCTTATCAATAACGTAAACAATACAATATTTATATTACGTTAACCTTGTCGCCAAACCTTTGGACTAAGTGGGACAATGTTTCGTGACTTAACGCACACTTGTGCGCCAGTGGGTGACATTGGCGCGACGATTTAAACGTAAAATGTTTTAAATGAGCAAGCAGATACCAAGTATAATGCATACTATTTCATTAATTAACCGAATTCTATTTCACGGAATCTCAACAATAACGATAGGTCAATTTCATGGTAATTACAATATAGAACTAGAATTATTGGTAACGTTATAGCATAAAATAATAATAAATACCCTTCATGTTCATTTTTTCGATGAGCTCGGACTTGAAAGGCTCCGCCGAGTCGAGGTTGTTGTTCCCCATTACGTGCGCCATCGGACTTTCATAGGACACCATGTAAACGTGGCGTCAAAAACGGTTGGTCGAAAGCCCGACAATATAATATATTATATAGCGTACAGTATTGATAATATATAATATTACGTATAACTATTGTATCACTGCAACGATGCGATTGCGATAATAATATTCAGTAGTAAATTGTAATAACATACGATAAAATATCGCGTAATAAAAATCGGTTGTCGAAATAAAATACGCCGGAGCGTAGGACCGGCGAGTCACGGGACTAATCGACGAACGAGCGACAGTGCGAGTGGCGAGCAAGCAGTGCAACTGCCAACTGTGCAAGTCGAAGTTCGGCCGGCGTGGCGCGGCGTATGATCAATTTATATTCTCGACGACGACTACGACCGACTGCGGCGTTTAAAGTTTATTTTTTCTCAAGCGTTTTTTTTTTTCGCGACGATAGCGGAGAAGAAATGTGCGCACAGCCGACGCGTACGAATGGCACTGCGATAATATTGTTATTTTTGCCGGATTTTCGGAAACCGGCTCGGCGGCTCGCGGCTCGTCCAACGGTGGGCGGGCGGGCGTGAGGGGTCCGGTAGCCCCGCCTAATTCGTTCCCACCACCGCCGGACTCCCACAAATGGGGTGGAAGTACGGAACGGACGGTCGCGGCAACGGCCGATTGCTGTTGATTGCCGCCGCCGCTGAACGTCGTCGCGTCGGTGGTACAATATTTTACGATACCCACTAAGTAATAAGTAATAATGAACATAATATAATATTATTAATTATCGTTCACCGGCAGCGTTACAATCGGTCGGATAATATGCTCCTCGTTAAGTCCAGAATTTGTTTTGGTTACTGTTTACATTGTTTTCAGCAGCCTACACTTGTGTCTGCGTGTATTGCTCATATCCCGACTATGTAGTGGCTGCACGCTACACTATAATAGGGTAGATACTAGATACTAGATAGGTACTTGGCCACTTAGGCGTGACTGTGATAACTTACATACTTACAATTCTATGCAGAAAAATTGGGCACATGTAAAATATTGTTATTACGTCGTAATTTTTTTTTTTAATTCACCAAAGTTAGGTACAAAATGTACTTCGAGATTAACACGAACAATCAATCGTCGTCAATCGCATTAAACTCACACGCTACAGAGTATTAAATTGCTGTCTATCGCTCTGCAATATATTACAAACAGAAGAGCAATTTATGTATTATTGCAAACACATTTTGTGAAATGTCTTATAACATAGGTTTGAAGTTAATAAGAAATCGAAAATTTCATATTTATTCTAAAAAAAAATCTTAGTTCTCTAAAGGAGTAATAGTTTATTGTAAAGTTTTTCGATTCTATAAACGTTTTAGTTTGTATATGCTTGCGTAACTTGAGTCCATGGTCTTGCCTACTAGGTCCTATAAATATGTATGCTATATAAACATTATTATATTATATAGAGATCAATGTAATGGAAATTTGTTTTTTGTGAGTCTGAATTTCGAAATGTTAGTAAAGCCCTTTCATCGGTATCGATACTTCGCACATGTTCAATCTCTGCCAAAGTATATTGTAGTACATGGGTATACGTATACAAATATGCGTATTTTAAAAACTATAATAATACCAGTTTAAATTTCTATCCATATTAATGCTGTTAAAAGTACGGAACACTATTCTATTCGATACAACAATAACCTTAACTACAACTGTTGGGTATCTATTTTGTGTAATTAATTTATTGCTCTATGGCTCAACCAATAAAATTATATAAAAGATTTAAATTACTATAATATGGTACAGAAAGTGTGTTTTCATAAACAGAATGAAAAAAAGAATTTTTTTTTAAAAAACACTATTATTGAGTAGGTAGCTAATAGTATCAAATATACGCCTTTAACAATAATTTACTTAGGTATTTTATTACCTACTTTAAGTAACTTTATAAGAGGAATACAAATGTAAACAAAAAAAAAATTGAAAACGCACTTGACAAGTGTCGTCTGAAACGGCCGGAAACGACTTATATAGAAACCGAGTGCATTGTATCATCCGGCAAAATACATTTGACATCTGAATTGATTGATACATATAAATAATTACTGTATCGAAATGTTTTATTTTTTTATATACCTAACAAATGCTATATATGTTTAATTGTCGTATAAATATAGTAAATAAACATAAATGGTAGGTACTTGTTAACTAAACAGTACCAACGTGGCTACTTACTTAAACGCTAACATGAATAATATGAATACACCAAACACCATACACCATACGGCTTACAACCAATGATAGTCTATAAGGTGGCGTACTGGTGTATAATACTTTATTGTAATCAGTAGGTATATATTTAGAATTATGTACAAATTTATAGATTTATGGAAATTATTGAAACACTAATAATAATTGTACCTATTTCATAAAATCTACTTTAAGGATATCCTGAATCGATTTAAATGTTATCTCTTGTTCTTGGTAAATTTATAATATGATAATTATTATTTATTAGTTATTACAAATTATAATAATTATTTATGGATAACTGATGGGTACTTAACTTATTTTGGTTAATCTATTACCAAAATAATAATAATTATAGGTAATTTATTATATCCTAGATTATGTAATGTATAATTATAAATAACAAAATATAAAAATATACTATTGACTTTGAAAATACAATTTAAATTTAATAAATATTTTATTTTTTTTATAGTTTTTTAGTGTTCAGATTATTTAGGTAGATAAATTAAAAAGAGAAACATTGTAAACATAAATAACTGTTGCTCATTAGTATTTAATTAATATTCTGTAGACAATTATTCTTTCATAATACTTTTTATGTTTTGGTATAATTTTTCTATTTCTCAATATCCAAACACTTTGATATGGGTTAAAAAATCTGATTCGCTATTGTATGTTGCACAATTAGGTTAAAATGTAGAATTTTGCGAACAAAAGGATTATAACTGTAAATCGTAATGGTTATTTTTATTATTGATTTTTATACGAAATACCTAATTCCAATGGTTCGTTACCCAAGCCATCTCTGCAGGAAGTAAGTGAAAATTCAAGGAAAGAAGTAGGTAAAAAAAAAGGTCGTTGCCAATTTCATATGACCATGTTTACGAATAAGACCACACAATACGTACCACAAGAAGAGTCATCGTTGCTTTGTGTTAATAATAATAATAATAAAAAATGATCTCTTTTCGCCGTGTAAAAAGGAAAACAGACACACACGCAATACGGTTCGTTTTTATAGACATGACAACGGGTGTTAGGCGTTAGCGTCGTAATAATAATATCGGTAACGTTGTGTAAACAATATTATATACCAGCACACATATATAATATTATGGTTTCGTATAAAAACTATTAAACTATAAATGGGTCTAAAGTTCTTGATTATTTTTTTTTTTTTTTACAAATTTTGTATTCTTAATATTAATATTTTTGTACGTGTTCAGTAGTATAAATTGCTATTAACTGGTATATATTGATTTCCAATCGGAGAATAACAAAAAACAAAACATTTTAATTACCTGCCTAACCCAAGGCAACTGCGATACAAACCATTATTATATATTAAACATTGTAGAGTGCATGCAATGTATAATATATAATATTATTATATAAATATATTTATATATTATGTTGTTTACTGCTTTAAAGGGCTATACACAATAACAATATTATATCGACGCATTAAACATAAAATAAATATAATAGAAGTGAACCTATATAATATAAAAACGTTTAAATTGACTCATAAGTGTACTTTTATATATTGTGATATAGAGTTTCCTATTTTTATATCCAGACCATTATTGTAAACGATTATAAACTTTCATGTCGTTTGGTCGTGTGTGTATACCTGTAACGATTAGAGTTAATCGCCATATTATTAATGACAGTAATCACACGCCATGGAAAGAGATATTATTATACATTTTTGCGATAAAAGTCGCTTAGTTGAAAATTGTTACATATTTATCGTACGGCGCGCGATGTACGAAAACAATAAATTAATCAATTAAAACTTTAAAATGTCTGTAAAAAAAAAAAAATAATAAAAAATACTACTGTGCCAATAAATGTATACTGTTGTTATTGTCATCTATTTTTTTAGTCTCGAATTATTTACGCACATCTAAAAAATTGATATATCAAATCGATGTCTTTATTAAATTCTTGTAATCTGTATATATGTAGAATTAAAAATTGTATTGTTCACCAAACATGCAATAGAAATCATCAACATTTTATAATTCATTTTTAACATTATATACTAAAAAAATCGTAATGTCAATAAATAATATGCTGTTAAAATTAAAAAAAACCAAGTATTTCCTCTAAAAAATAAAAACTTATGAATTTAATTTCAAAAGTGATATGAAATACCTTACTTAAAATTAAATCATTTATAATGAATCTAAAAACATGTAAGTCTGATTTTGTAAGTTCGTGTAAGTTTTTGCATAATTTAGTATTTAGTAATATTTACAATATAAACATCGATTTCAGTCTTATAATCACACGCAGTCACGGATAACTATTTTTTATTTATTATTATGCATGATGCACCCCCCCCCCATATAGACTTTTTATAGTACAGCTGTTCAGTGATAATGAACAGGATAACCCGTTAACAATACTTAAAAAGTTATAATAATTATTCTAACGTTTCAGGTATATACATGTATTGATATACTTATTAATATTTTAGAAATAGAAATGTTCGACGAGATATTAGGGCGTATAATATACATTTTACTTTAAACACACTTAATAGTGACTATTGTAATTATTGTATGATTGTAATTTCATGATATTAGAAACAATATATTTTATTAAATGAGAATTAAAGATATTTGCCTTTATTTATTATAACCGTGTTGTTATCAAATGATTTAATTTTTCGGGGAAAATTTGGATAACAATTTTATTGGTTATTCAACCTTGGTAAGATTTCATTGGAAGATTTTATTTTATTCAATTGTATTGGAAAAATAAATTGAAATAATTTA